GATTTAGAAACATATACATCAGTGATCCGATCTCAACAAATCAGAGTTGAAGACCTTGTTAAGGTGCTATGGAAGTTAACAGGAAATGACAAAACAGGAAGTGACAATTTTTTTTGCATTTTTAGATACTTTTTGAATAAAGATAACAGAGTTCTTGTTTGACCTCCAGTCAATTTAACTATTTCCACATATCATTTACATGACCAGGATCACAATGTGCATGGTCAGAATGACCCTAAACATGATGAAATAACCTTTTTAGCCCTTTGAAAGTGTGACTGAAAAAAAGCTAAAAGTAGGAGCGTAGGGATAGTCCCTGAACAGAATCTTTTGAATTTTTCAGAAAATGTACCCAATATAATGCTCTAACTAGTACAATCTTTGAAATTTTAGAAAATTGTCTAAAACAAAAATGGCGGTCATAAAAAGGAAAATAGATCGCTTTTCAAATCAGTTTTTTCATTTTTTTTTCTTTTTCTATGAATGATATCAAATTTTCAAAGATTGTATCATTTAGAGCAATATATTGGGCACATTTTCTGAAAAATTCAAAAGATTCTGTTCAGTGACCTTCCCTACGCTCCTACTTTTAGCTTTTTTTCAGTCACACTTTCAAAGGGCTAAAAAGGTTATTTCATCATGTTTAGGGTCATTCTGACCATGCACATTGTGATCCTGGTCATGTAAATGATATGTGGAAATAGTTAAATTGACTGGAGGTCAAACCAGAACTCTGTTATCTTTATTCAAAAAATATCTAAAAATGCAAAAAAAATTGTCACTTCCTGTTTTGTCATTTCCTGTTAACTTCCATAGCACCTTAAATCGTATACTGGAAATTCCAACTTTTGGGGAGTACTACGAAATCGTATCTTTCAGAAAACCTCATCACACAATCCATATACCACACTCACCAAGCAACCACTTATCTTTGATGTCTGAGGAACTCTTGAATGCGTCAACTAGCTGCTATGATGATATGACATAACACAATATAACACTGTTGTTGATATAATTCTGTTGAAATGATATATTGATTGCTGATATGATAATGATGCTGATGTGATATTGATAGTGATATTATTGACTTTAAAATAAATGTGTTTCAATTTATGCATAATATATTATATTCTAACATTTCCTTTAAGTTTGACTTAAATATGACAATCATGCAAGTAATTACATTTGTATCTTTGCTGCATTAATAGTTAAACCATTTAAATCCCAATATTTGCAGATGTTAATTTAATTTAATCTCTAGTGGTGTATAGCATTGCCTTAAATGGTGTATTGCTTGGTCTTAATTGATGCATAACTGCTTTAAATGGTGTATAACATAGCCAATCATGGTGTACTACTTTGCCACAAAATGGTGTATATGTAAGCCTATATTGGTGTATATAACTGCCTACCATGGTGCACTATTTTGCCTATTGTGGTGTGGGATGATATAAACCTATAATGGTGCTGCCAAGAGATACAATTCGTAACATTTTGCTCATATTCTTAAGGTTTATCATAACACAGTGCAAATTTCAGTATCTAAAATGTAGCATTAATTCAAGTATGATGCCACTTCATTACTATTTTCTTTTGTTATTCAATTAATGTATTATGTGCATGCGTTAATTCTTAGGCACTTCAATATGGTGTTATTTATATTGTATTTTGTTAAGGTCGTGGATGTTTTTCAGGGGAGGATAAACCTTTACTAAATATTTTATTGTAAATCATTTTGAAAAGTGCAGTTCATTATGTTTTTGTAACTTATTTTTAATGTTTATGGCCGAATAAGGTTTAATGTGGGACCATTGAAGACGTTGTCCGCGTGAATGTAACCAGGCTATTTCATATTTTGAATTTCATATTGATCAATCCCCATTTGTTTCCTTGTTCATTTTAACAGGTCCTTTTAATCCTCTTGCATCAACTACTTTTACATCCAGTATTTCAGATATTTATAACCATGTTGTTTGCAAGTCACTTTTGTATATATGCTCTATTGTTTAAACCAGTTTTGTATGTTGTTTCATGCTGTGTTTGTTTTTACTTTTTATTCATGTCTTCATGTTACATATATAGATCACATTCACTCACTCATGAGTTTGGGTGTTGCCCAGTTAGTCAGTTAGTTAGTCAATTGTTGCAGAGATACATGTATCAGATTTTGAAATAGACTTTTTTAGACATTTTAAATCATAGTTTCTGTTGTATTTTATTCGCCACCCACGGCCTTCCATCGCCCATTTACATAACAAACGAATGATATCAATAGTAAAATCTTCAATAATACCATGATTAAATTTCAAGTGGGGTGACAATGATAACATTTAGTCAAATGGCACTTTAGGCATACTTTTCTCAAATCTCATCAGATACCTTTTTTAAAAGTCACCCAATTTTGGTCTTATTTAAGTTAAGATATGTTAACAAGAACAAGTTCCCACACTATCCCATGAAGATATATGTAGTCTACATACATTCTGTTTGATTCACATGTAGATAATAACATAACATAACATACATTATGTAAATAATATAAATAAAATAACAAATTGTAGTTCATGATCTTTTATCTCAATGAACATAAAGGTAACTGGGACAGATGCATTTCTACTTTGCCAATCATGATACTGTATCATTTTTGTAGATACTGACCTCATTTATTATGATAGCCTGCTAAAATAAAAAAATTCTGATGATGTAGTTCTAAACTGTAAAATAGTATTCTGATCATTTATTTAAAGGGTTACGATAAGCTTCCCATATAAAAACAATATGGTGGCTCCAGGCGAGTCATCAGGATCAGTCCATTTTTAAAAAATAAGGGGAGTTCTGGAATTCCAGTTTATTGAAATTGTCTTGGAGATAAAGTAATCTTTTTACAATGATTCTGTAAAGATTATTGAGAGAGTGATTGTTCAAAGAATGCATGTACAAATCCTTGTATTAGAACTGCTTTGTTTCATCAAAATAAAAATCTCCCTTTTATAAATGTGTGCCGATCTATACTATACTATTGCTACATAACAGGCAGAGGTGTTGACACAATGACCTCGTGCCTGTGAACCCTTGAGTATTATTCCGGGATCGGGCTTTTTATATTAAACGGTGAGCAATATCAGAAACGAGCGTTCGATTTGCTAAACGATATGCACTTTAACATCTTTTCAGAAAATAATGAAACCATGATGTCATCGGAAAAATTGAAAAATATGCATCTTAAATTATATTTAAATCTCTAATCAAAAACTATTAGGAATGTTATGCAAATGTTAACTGTTGTGGAAAACAATGCTAATTTTTTATTTTCTTATAGTAAACAGAATTTGGAAATGTTCAGTTACCATGATTCATCGAATTAATTTTAAAAAGAAATTTCTACCAAAAATCCCCCCTCCCCATGAATTAATTTTGTTTATTGAACAACTTTGAACAATTAGTCACCATTTTCTAACTATGCATGGATATATAATCTATGCATGTATGTAATAATTACATCATTCTATCCAACATATGGGTTACTCAAGAGATCTTTACATGTGTTACATACATAAAAGTATAAAAATCATAATCTATACATCCTCTCAAATTGAAATATGGCTTATAAGAACACACGCTGATATATATTTAAATTATATCTCCATATGATTTCCTTACATCATCTGATACCAGCAGCCTCTCTTAGCAAAGATTGTATTTTATAATCATGCTGACTTGTTTGAAATGTCAAAGCATGGCTTACAATTACCCTTTACAACTGGGATTGACTATTTGATACACTCTTTACATTACGGATAAATCTCCAAACCCTCTGAGCTTGACTGAATTGGCCATTTCCCAGCTACAATGTTTCCCATATGAGTTCTACATGGCAGATTGCTCAGATGTAAGCTTATTTATCAATTATAATTACGAGTTTCACATCATGCTTAAGTTTTTATGTCACAATGGAAAGAGTGATGACATACAGTTGGTGTTTGGCACTTGGCATCTGTAACAAATGGCAGTTTGTGACATTTTGCATATTAATGCCTTATTTCTGGTTTATATGTAACACATGGTCACCTCCATTGATTTAATCTTATCTGCTCTCTGATTTGTTAAACCGACTGAAGAATGCTTGATACTTCTCAGAGGGTAGTGCGCTATAGTTGAAAAGATCAGGGTATAATATGACATATAAGATTTGATAGAAATGCTTTTTCTCATCCTCCCAATGAACGCAGGGCTCCAGGCATCCACCACATACTTCCTTCTTAGGAGATATGAGTTCTGGAGGCCTGTGTTCATAGGATGGCTTTCTTGCTTTCTCTGAGTTGCTATGTCAGAATGTAAGAGGATAAACTTTAAATTCAGAAATGAAGAATAACTCATCCATACAACGTTCTTTAGGGTTCCCTTTTTGGGGGTGGGGTGGGGGGTGGTTGACTCGAGAGCCAGACCTGTTGATACTCTAATTGCAGCTAATTATACATTGAGAGAGTGTGTCATCTCAGAATTCATAAACTCAGATAATACGAAGTAATGCAAATAAATATTCCAATCATGAATAGCAAGAGACATGTGAAATTTTTTTAGCCATTTTTTTGTGTGCAGTGATTTCTAATCATACACTTTATAGATTCATGAATCTCTTCAATCATATTTGAGCCATGCAATATATTGTACAAATGATGTTTAAATGAAAAAACACTTTCTAATTTCCCTAGCCATTTACTGACATTTCACTCTCTCAATATCAGAGCTGTACCTCAGAATCCTATCCAAAAAATCAGAACGGTTTTACATGTATGTTATATTGAGCCAAAGTACTGCTGTATAAAGGAATACCCTGATATAACAGAATGGAATAGATGTACTTGGCGATTTATTTGTACATGCATTTTGCAAGAATTTAAACCTTTGAGTCAAGTTAGGGCCCATAATTGCCGTTTCCTTCATGTTCAATTCTTGTTACAATGTTCAGAAATGGTATTCACCTTTATTGTTTATTTCAGATATGATGTACAATGATTTTGTGGACCACCCTGCCATGTCAAAGATCACGAGCCGGACATGTTGGGTCCATGTCTGTGTCCCAGGCCAGGAGGAAAATGCACAAGATCTGCCTGCAAAGTAAGATATTTCAACATGGTTTTAATTAATTGGGACCCGTGATGAGCCTATAAAACCATCCACTTTTTTGTAGTCTGGCTGTCTATTTACCTGTCAAAAGTCTTTGGAGAAATGAAAATTGTCTGTCTGAACCAATGCTCATGTCCATTATTACTGGTCAGTATCAAGCGAAGATAATGGATGTAACATTGACATCTAAGATAGTGGGCGGAAAATGTCGATTTCAATATATTTTGTTTTCATTGAATTAAACTACTTTATCGTTGACGTTGTGCTTTGATATTTGAACCAAATTAGGCTTATATGACTTGGGATCTCTGGATTATGATAATTTGTTCATATATCGTGCATGGGCGCAACAGTTTAACAATATCTTCCACCGCTTAAGGGAAGGTAACTGGAAATGTATAATACAGTAATAGTCATGTTAGTTTTCAATACGCGTTAACTGGACATCTTAGCTCTCCATTATAAACTCTCATAATGTTACCGCATCACCGCATATCAGTTATCTTATTACCTAAAAAAACAAAATCCCAATTACCTTTCCTCTAGCGATGGAAGATATCATTGGACTGTGTGGTGCCTACGCATGGTACATATGATCATAATCGAGAGTTTCCGTGCCATATATGCCTGATATAGTTTAAATATCAAAGCATTACGTCAACTAAAACATTTTAATTCGATAAAAACTAAAATTATCGAAATGGACAGTTAACATCCACCATCTTCAAGCCGTCCAACTGTCCCGCAATTTGCGTATTTGTCGCGAATTTGCTGGAAACTTTGAAGTCACACTAGTTTTTTTGCAAATACGCATTTTACCTGATGATTGTCAAGCAAAAACATTTTTGTAGAAAAACTTCAAAAAAGTGATCGCCGATATTCTGTACTTCGCCTTCTGCTATTGACTTTGTTTTTTTGTCACTGATTGGTGATTTCATTTAAAGGTTCATAGAACTTGTTCACACGAGGGGAAATGATTTTGATTTGATGAAAAATCCATTTATTTATTACAGTATATGTAACTAACAACTGCAATGTACTCAATTTTATAACCTGAATGTTGGTAGATTGGAACTGTTTATATTTTTATCTATTGTCCTCTTGAGAATAGTTTGTTGTTTTATACAATATGTTTTTATCTAAAATTGTATACCAAAACAAGGGGAAAATGCTTCCATTGATTTTGGAATTTGTCTATTTTGGTTTGTAAGGATTCAAACAGATCCTTAAGAAAAGCATCAAAAATATATCTATAATTTTTTGAAGCTTATTAATTTTGATTTATTACTGAACATAAAATGTGGAGAGTGTTAGCTCATCAGTGTTTTTCCTTATGGTTGTTTTTCCTCATCACATCATTATTTTCTTATGCTATGAAATTCTGACATTTGCGTTCGGGAAAGTTGAATGTTCCTGGTAGAGTACATGGTACAATTACGAAGCAGTCATGTATCAACTTTGGATGGTTTTATGTTACATAAATCATCAAAATAATAATATTTCAGCGAAACATTAATCAATACTGTTATGAAATAAGACCCAAAACTAGGCCTATAGGAATACTTCTGACATCCAATTCATGTTTCTCAGATAAGTTCGATATTATCTGATATTTCTGATATTAGAAAGGTTGAAAAAGCTATATTTGACTTGCAAAAGGTTAATTGAAACTAAATTGAGTAGATTGGTATTAGCATTATGTGTGGGTGTTATAATAGAATGCGCTGTCAATTTAATCGATTCCATGTTTTAAAGCAAAACCTATTACATCAGGGATGGATCTTGTAATCTGAAATCTAAATCTAAATCTATCAAATGTAAAAAGTAGCATTGTTCTTCAATTTAATAAAAAAACGAGGCTTTGAAAGGCTTTCATTGTCATTTTCTTTGGATCGACACAGATATGATGATGAAGGGGAGGGGGTGCAATGAATGGACCCAAACAATCTTCTTAGAAATTTTTGAAAACCTAGAAAAATGCTCTGAATGTTATATGCTAATGTGGAACTCTTAAATGGGAAATTAGAGAATCCTCAGAAATGCTGTTGTATTTAAGCATCCCCAAGTAACGGGAAAAGTTGGAAAACCCATTCCTGTTAGAAAAACCATGATGCTGTACAAATACAGCAGTTAATAAGGTATATACGGGTGAAAGGAATTGGTTTAACATGAAGGTTGCCCTGCCCTAGCTCCATATAAACAAGCTTTAATCTGATTAATGTTGAATGTTTCTGTTGTAATTGTGTCAAACTCATCCATCATCATCTCAGCCACATTGTGTTATGTCTATAGTATAAATATAGACATGATGTAATAAAGATTATGTTTAAACGCAGATTTAAAAGTTTTTTTTCACATTAATCGAACGATGATGTGTTAAAAATTAACAGGGTTCTATGATGCATTCACTTGTTTACCTGATTATCAATACAGTAAAACCTGTAAAGTTGAACACCTCTAGAAGTGGAACACCTAATATGTTAGTGGACCACTTTTCAGAGTCCCAAGTCCAACTGACTAATGTTAAATGAACCTCTATAAGTGAAACACCTCCCATGTGGAACACTTTTTAGAGGTACTAAAGGTGTTCCACTTAGACAAGTTTTACTCTATATTCAACCGGTTCTTTGTATATTGACTGGTCCTCTATGTTCTCTCTTCTGTGAGGCAACTTGGCAGGTCCAGGGTATGATGTTTTTATTAAAGACCCCAACTGCCTTTCAGTTTCATCTTCTTTGTGTTATGTAATAAGTTAAATCGGAGGAACATATTTTTTAAGGAAACCTTTCTCGGGGTTGATGTTCTCAAAGATGCTAGGTTGAGTAGATCTATTAAGACCCACATATCTCATTATTTTCCTTCATTTAGTGCATTTAGTTATTTAAAAAGAAACAACCACTTTTATTCTGAAGTAGTCTCCCATCCTTCTGCTCCCTCTTCAGTACAATTGTCTGGATAAATGATAACTATTGAAGCCAACTAGGTGTTGAGTCATGTTTAAAGATTACACGCAACCCTGTCAAAAGTTGTATGCACCCAGTCTAGGCAAAAATGTAAAATATGGACATATTTTGACTAAAATTTTGACCAAAAAGTTTGAATTCTGCATCCTGCGGATAAAAAATCATTTTTAAGGGAAGTCACTAAAATGAGACATGTCATTTGATCAAAGTTGGTTTTTATTACTTACCTCAATTGAAGTATTTGATTGATGACATGATAATTGCTGGTAATTAATTACCTGAGTGGCCTGGCTCATATTCCAAGGGAATGGCTTGGCTGATCACTAAAGCTAATTCTACTGAATCACCTTAATCTTGTTTAATGACTCAATAAAGGATACCTTGTTAGATATTGTGTATAAAGGAGTGCAAGCTCCATCTAATCTTGATATAGATTTTTACATAATCAAGCAAGTTAAAGCATCATGAAATCTGAGAACAAGAACAAAAGATGCATTAGGTGTGTATGAAATATTTATTTCATTGATTCCCTTTTCATCTCTTTTTTGGATAGCAGTGTAATTAAATGTGTTACATATTGTATTGTTAGTTGTTCATTTCATGTTCATATATAAAGTAATATGTAATTAGATTTAATCTTGTCATCTCTCAAAAGATATAATAGCACCATCACTAATGTCACCCAATGGCTCTGGGAAAGAATTAATTGAAAACTACATTATGGAATGAATATTTAATGTGACAAGTCAGGTTGGGCAAAAATAGGCTTATCTCAACTGCTGAGTTATAAAAGGTGTTAGAGTCGCTGCTACCTCTCCCTTATTTGAAATGATCATTCCCTTGTGGTCTGCTCTTTTCTGAAAATTTCTTTCCATACACACATTAGGATTTAGTCCTGACATATCCTGATCAGTAGTCTACCTCTGACACCGATGTTACGACATGACAGTGCCCTCATGGGAATGCACTAACCAAGTAACTAATGGAAACCATGACTAATGTATGATTCAAGCAAGCCAGATACAGCCAGGAATTAAGGGTGCCCAGTCTAGATACATTCAGGAATTTAGGGGTGCCTAATCCAAACACAGCCAGGCATTAAGGGGTACCCAATTCAAATAACCCAGGAATTAAGGGGTGTCCAAGCCAGGAGTTAAGGGTTGCCCAATCTAGATATAGCAAGGAATTAAGGGGTACCCAATTCAAATAACCCAGGAATTAAGGGGTGTCCAAGCCAGGAATTTAGAGGTCGCAAATCTAGATACAACCAGGAATTAAGGGGTACCTAATCAAGATATACCCATGAGTGTCCAATTCCGATAACTGAGGAATTAAGGGGTGTCCAAGCCAGATACACTCAGGAATTAAGGGGTACCCAATTCAAATAACCTAGGAATTAAGGGGTGTCCAAGCCAGGAGTTAAGGGTTGCCCAATCTAGATACAGCAAGGAATTAAGGGGTACCCAATTCAAATACATCCAGCAATTAAGAGGTGCCCAATTCAGATAACCGAGGAATTAAGGGGTGCCCGATCCAGATACACTCGGGAATTAAAGGATACCAAATCCAGATACATCCAGGAAATAAGGGGTGCCCAATTCAGATAACAGAGGAATTCAGGGTTGCCCAATTCAGATACACTCAGGAATTAGGAGGTACCCAATTCAAATAACCCAGGAATTAAGGGGTGTCCAAGCCAGGAGTTAAGGGTTGCCCAATCTAGATACAGCCAGGAATTAAAGATGCCCAGTTCGATGCTGAGAGAACAAACCAGGAAGTTCTCAATCCCTGCCTGGTCCTTGACTGAGTTTTTGTTTCATTGCATTCAATCCCTAAACTGATCCCCATTAGATACACGTATATAAATCGTGTTCTTCAGAACACTTTGACCTAATTGGCCATAGAACGTCTTGCTGGAATGCCTCATCTGACTAATAGTTGTTTCAGTCAATTACTTTAGTTATTAAAATAGGCAACTTTGTCGACATGAATTATTCATCCAGCTCGATGATTTGCTCATTTTGCTCA